GGGTCCATTTTGGGTGCTCAGGTTTGTTTACGTTCACCCGGAAGTAGAACTTCTTCTTCGGTGTTTTTTTTAAGGAGAGTTTACCACTCTGCGCACGTCAGTACTGCTGTTCAGAACAAAGCCCGCTGCATGTAAACGCTCGTCATGAACAGATTGTGCCCATGTAAACAATACATTTGAATTATTCTGCGCATGTAAACATAGCTATGGAGAGTGACTCTTGTGTAGTGCTGCTAATTGTGCACAACTTGTTCCGAGGTGTGTCAGTATGTGTCATGTGCGAGAATAACAACATGTTGGGTATACAGGCCATTTCAAAAATAGTTCAACAATTTTATCATTGTGGTAAAACGTGCACATTCCCCCTCCAGTGTACACTTTGTGCTCCACCTCTTAGAGGAGTTCTTCTGTCTGGACTTATCTCTTTGTTTGGTGCTCTGAGGTGAATTCAGTCGTGGTGCTACTCTAACCCTTCACATAATTTAATGAAGGCCTGTGGGTGTTTTCAAAGAAAATAAATAATCCAGTTCAGTTTATTTATATCGCCTCAAGTCTACAGAAGTTGTCTCAGAGCACTGAACAAAAACATTCACATTCATTAAAAAAGTAAATTAGTAAAGTTCTTTATCTGAGGAAGCAGCAGACTGTGTTGAATCTTCACTTTGTCCCATCCTGAGCAAGCACAAAGGAGACAGTGGAAAGAAAAACTCCCTTTTAAACAGGAAGAGACCTCCAGTAGAACCAGGCTCAGGACAATTGGCTATCTGCTTCGACCGGCTGGGTTTGAGAGGACAGGAAGGAGGAACAGATACACAATGGCAGGTCCAGATGTACTTTCTAAAACACATGTTAAGAAATACTTACAAACACAAACGGGTAAAGACAGCAGCAGAGGGAGGAAATGTGGTTGGCGTGTCCTCCAGCAGTCTAAGCCTATAGCAGCATAACTAGGGGATAACTCAAGAAACCCAAGCCAACCCTAACTATAGGATTTATAAAAAAGGAAAGTCTTAAGCCCAGATTTAAAACTGGACAATGTGTCAACCTCGTGGGCAGAAACTGGAAGTTGGTTCCACAAGAGAGGAGCCTGAGAACTGAAAGATCTGCCTCCCATTCTGCTTTTGGAAACTCTAGGAACCACAAGTAAACCTGCAGTCTGAGAGTGAAGTGCTCTGTTAGGAAAATATGGAACAATCAGATCTATACTTGAGAGCTTTGTAGGTTAGAAGTAACATTTTGAATTCTCTTCTGAATGTGACGGGGAGCCAGTGGAGAGAAGCTAAAACTGGAGAGATATGATGATGAAACAAAAACACAATATTAGGATTTTTAAGAAAGTACTTTCTATAGAAATTTTAGTTGTGGTTGTGTATTTTTCTGCAGAAACACCCTTCCTTGCTTGTTTTCTCACAGCTTCTTCTGAAACTTTGTTAAAGTTGATTTTAGGGTTTTGGGTTTGCACAGATGCACCTCTGTGGGACACATCTGGGCTGTTTTATACAGTTTCATAAAACACCTGCAGTGTGGGGGGTGTTCCTGAGGTTGGGTTGACGTCTGAATCTTTAAATCAGGTCTTTTTGTCATGATATTAATACATATTGTGTTATACTCGTCTTTTCCTCCTGATGAGAATATTTCTCTTCCAAATTATTATCCAGAGGAAAGTTTTACGGATTTTTTAATATAATAATTTAATATAATTTATTTATATATATATATATATATATATATATATATATATATATATATATATATATATA